CTGTACTTCTCCTTTTTCAAATGGAGGCAGTTTCATATTTTCTGAATGCTTTTGCAGACAAATATAAGAGTACATAGTAGGTGTGCACAAAAATCTGTTATGTATATATGAAAGAAACCTGAGTGGTTGACTATCATCAGGTGTTACATTTAAGCTAAAAATAAAGAGGACTTGAGCTATTTGAATGCTTCTTGAAGTACTGAACTCCTTTTCTCCACATCCAAATGGAGGCTAAGAATTTTGGGGGAAGAAATTATTTTTTTAAATAGGTTTTTCCCCTTTGCCTCCATGTATATTTTAAAGGGATCATTTTTAATGCTCATTCTATTGCCAATTCTCCTTTTAACCACAAGATGGCATTCAAGGCTTAAGCTTTGGGGAATAAAAATATATGTATTAAATGTACAATTATGCAAACCTATAAAAACAATGTTTAACTTCAATAACAGCATAAATGTACATTAAATTAATGTATTCAGCATAAATGTTTTCTACATAACTAGAAAAAATCAGACATAGTTATGTTAATGGAAGATCACATATTTTTGTGAGTTAAAGCACATACAGAATTAGATACTGCAGGAACTTAGAAATAACATACATTAAATCCTTAATTTAAAAAATAAAACTAAGTCTGGAGTATGTTTTATAAACATAAAGTTTTATGCTGGTATTTGTTATAACACGTTAATTTTTCATATAGAGAGAACAGAAGTAACATTGTTTAAATAATAAACATTGAAACTGACTAAAACCAAAACAAACAAAACAAACAAAAATAGAAGGTGGACTTGATTTGTGCTTATAATTGAGTAGGTAATATTATTTTAACACTTACCTGGAAATTTTAAGTTTGTAAATTAGCATATATTAATAGGCAAATAAGAAATAATTTAATTTTAGTTTTCAAATACAGTATGTGCTAATCGATAACTCCAGACAAGTTGGTTAATCTCTTTGTGCCTCTTGTTTTCCTCATTAGTAAACTGTATATAATAGCTGTCTCTGCTTTTCCTGAACTTCTTTAGAGAAGACGTAGGGGTGACAGTTTAGTTGGGTAGGGAGGCTAAGAACCTTACCTTGAAGCTGTGTAATGAGGGAAGAGCTTTGACCTGGAGCACAGGCTGAGTTGTGACTTTGAAGGTGGATATGATCGGCAGTTACACTTGGATACTCATGTGCACACTTAGAGGTATAACTGCTCTGCAGCATGGCCAGTATTGCATTAGGAAATGAAGGGAGAGTGCCCGGCACACAGTATGTACTTCCCTGTGAGTTCCTGTTCCTGCTGTACCTGCAATGGATAGACAAGAGCAACACTACTTTCTCAAGCTAAACAGAATGTAAAACTTCTCCAGAACTGACAATATTTATTTAGATAACTTTCTGGCTGACAAAGCTTAGACTACTGGTATAGATCTTCCTATGACACATAAGCAATCTTTAGCTATAAAGTATGACATAAAATAGTTTTATATGTGCATAAGTAAGAAAAATTTTTTAAAAATCCCAGCTTGCTCTGCTTTTTGATTTTGTATCTTCCACTATTTCTCCACAGAAAATAAATACAAACAACTGATTAGATTCTAGATTCATATTCTGCCCATCTCTTGGTTGGAGTGAAGCATTTGCATGAACAGCCAAAAACAGGCAAGGCAACAGGAAACAAAAAAAGCTTTGGAAATACACACCAAACCACATGATCAATTCATGCATATTTATGAGCTGCTTATAATGACAATGGATTCCTAGTAATACTAACTACAATCAAGTGTGGAACTTAAGAATTTTTATAAAATATTCATGACAGTCATTTATATTTCCAGTTTTCAATCACTGTTCTATGACTACATCCTTAGAATTCTCAAAATAGAACCATAATCTCTGTATTAGAATGGGTCTTGATAGAAGTTAGCACCTCAATTTTATTTTTCTGAAAATGGACTGCCTTAACATTTAGTCCTATTAAGTGTGGAAACAGGGTAAGGGTGCATCATTCTGCAAACACTAATTGAGCACCTGCTAGTTGGCCAGGTCACCGTCCTGAGTTTGGAGAATACATAGCCACAAGAATGACCCTGCCCTGGGCACTGCTCATGAGGAGACGAAGTCCTGCAGCACAGGGCCTGAGAAAGCTAGGGACAGAGTGCTGTGGAAGCAGAGGACGTCAGGGACGCTTTCACTCAGAGGCGCTGAGCTCGATCCTCACGCCATCCTTGCGGAGTACTTTGCAAGGCAGAGGAGATGGTAAGGGTGAAATAGGGGAGGGAGGGGGGAGAATGAGCACACAAATGGACTAAATAAATGTGGTCATGATAGGTATTCTTTCCTAACTTGAAAAAATTTTACAATTTTTACATGTTTCTGACAGGCTATTTTTATTTGAGAAGTTGGTGGGCATGGGCTTTTATCTCCACCCCCCCCCCCAACCTCAGGAACTAATATTTATTGACTGTCCATATGTCAACACTATATAATTTTATATGCGATCTTGTTCAAGAGATCAAATGCAAACAACTTTGCAAGATAGGTAATGTTATCCACGTGTAACCAGCTCACTGCGGGTAAGAATTTCTCCAAGGCCTGTCGCTTGGGAAAGCCCATGCTCTTTGCCCATGCTGCCTCCAAGGAAAGATGCTTCCATCGGGAACTGGAACCAGAGCCACAGCGGGAAGAGCACCAAGGACAGAGAACCTGACAAGTGCTCACTATGTTCCAGACACAACTGGGAGTATTTTAGATGGATTAATTTGTTTAATCCTCACAACCTTCGTGGGAGGTAGGTACGTAATTACCGCCATATAAGAAAGAAGGAAACTGAGGCACAAAGAATTCAGATAAATTGCCCGAGGTCACAAAGTGGGTGACTGGGAGAGCCAAGACCCAGTCCAAGCAGTCTGGCTCTAATGGGACTCCCTGCATTTTTTAAGCGATTCTGCCTTTTACCCAGACCGAATCCTGACTCTAGAACACCAGCAGAGACCCTGCCGGGCAAGATATCCCAGGAAGAAGAACAGAGTGGTGAAAAGATTTTATGTCCTCAAATAATGGACAAGATAATTCAGTGTGGCTTAAGAATTGAGTCTTGGTTGACAAAGGGATGGGAAAATTGTTGGAGGAGGTATGTGAGAAGGCAAGACAGGTTTCTCTTTTTCCCAAACACCATACAGATGAAAGATTCTCAATTTGCAGTTGTTTGGTTTCTTAATAGAACACTTCAGTGCCAGGAAAGCATTTCCAAACATAAGAACAGAAAGATACATAATGGTATGATATTGCATACACATATAGAGCAATTACTCACTTCCAGAGATTCCCAAACTCTTTGTACTTAAGTCTCTATGAACCGACACCTTTATTATAGCTCATGTATTTTGATGAATATGAGACTTTTAATTATCAGAAAAGAAAATGATTCCACCATAATTAAAAATTAAAATTTTTGCATACTCAAAAGTTTATGCTACATAAAATTATACAGATAAAATTATAGATAAATGTAATATCTTTTAAAAACTTTATTTAGTATTTTCTTACTAATCAACTCCAAAATTTAAAAGCAGCAAATATCTGAGCTACATGTTTTCTCATCAACCACCAGATGGCATAAAGTGTGAGAGTTTTATTCTGACAGGGTCGCCACGCACGTGACAATGTGACCTGTAACTTCGAGATAATGTATTTGGAAAAATGTTCTGGCACTCAAATAGCTCACAATTACTTCAGCCATATGTAGAAGTGGATGGATAAGTTGAAAATGACGTAGTCCTGCTTTTTCTAAATTTGGGGGTTCTGCGGGATGCTGGCATTACATAATGAATCAATGATCAAACAAATAAAACGAAGCAGTTCTTTTCAAGGAAATAAAAACGGAAGTCATGTCAAAGCAAAATTAACCTTGAGTTCTAAGTAAGTTTCTCTAACTCTAAATGAAACTTGAAACGTGCCTTCAAGGAAAAAAATCATGCATGTATTTCAAATTCTGCTTAATAAAAACTTTTCTACTGCCTATAATTTATTCTGAAAGCAGAAAAGTATCTAATGCAAAAGATTTTCTCCACTTTGGCCTAAAGGAAAGTTGGTGCAGAAGTCAACTGGAAAAAGAATATCCAACCAAAAAACCTACTCTGAACTTTGATGTTAAAGAGTAGGAAAGAATATTTTAAAAACCTGGGTTCCTACACAAATCCAAAATATACTACATTATGTTTACTAACCCTGTATTTCCATCTAGAAAAGAGCTAACAAGTCAAAGAGATTTAAAATAGAGGTAAATAAGGTAAATGCAAAAAACGGGGTCTTTAAGTCCCCTAGCCTTGTGGTAACACCTCTCTGAAGACTTGGAAATAAGCCCACCAGAATAAATGACTCCTTTAACTCAGCCAGCACCTCAGAGCTGAGGTGAAATCTCTGCTTGGGCATCATGGAACAGATAAACTGCCTTTAGAAGGCAGGAGCCCAAGATGAGCTTGAGATCCCTTCCTTAATGTGGCCTAAGAATCAAGTCTATGATTTCTGAAGATGCCATGATAATTTATATTTGTATTTTACTATGTATTTCCTCATAGAGGTAGTATATTTGGTTCCTGAGTGAAAGAAATCTGTGGAAGAGAAAAAGCTATTTGGAACTATGTGAAGGATGAACAACTATTTGATGATATATGAGCAGGTTGAGTTGTTTGTGGGTTTTTTTCCTGTTTCTAAGTCATGTTGATAAAGATAAAGAGAATGGAGATGAGAATTGATGGGGAGGGTTTTGTGAGATTCCTGCACCATGGCTCATGTCCTTTATCCATTTTTGGCAGCTAATAGGTAGCAAAGATGTTTCCCACCTGGATTCATATGAAAGGAAAAAATAATGCTCCTTATTTTTGTTATGTTTAGAAAAAGCATAAGTTCCTTCCAAAGGGTTTCTTCTGATGGTTCAGTTAGATAGTAGAAAGTGGAATAGTAGATATTTCAAGTTAATAGGATAATATATTCTAGACACTTAAAATTACTTGCTTTACGTTCCATTCTTTATGATGTTTTAACTCCACTTTCTTCCATTTATAATACTTTCTAATGAAATTTGGACCTTCAAGCACTGAAATTAGAATATAGAAAAGATCTATGTATATATTCTTTAATAATAGTTCAAAGTTAAAGTAATCCACTTATTAAGTTGATATGTGGCAAGGATGTACACTATATACTGCAAGTCATATTATAATGCTCAGACACTTTCCAAATTTCTTTTATTTGAACTTGGTATTATTGGATATTGTTTGAAATAAGTAGATTGTAACTTCAAAACTTTTTATTACAATGACATTTGTTTATGTATCATTTATAGCAATGTAGAAGGTGTTAACATGATTCATATAGAAACTACAGACACCATAGTTTAACAAAATTCTAATTCAGCACCTCAAGTAGCAAAATAAAATCTTAGAGTTAGAAGTGATGTTACAGATCTTGATCTGTCCCAAAGAATCTGCAACAGGTGATCACCCAGCCTGCAAATCATACCTTTGCCAACAACAACAACACTCTCCTCTTTGTTGTTGGGAGACTGCCTGTTCCACTGACAGATGGTGAGGTCACCGTGTCATTCCTTAACCTGAGTTCTGAGTTTCCACTGGGCCTAGTTCTGACCTCTAGATCAATACTAAGTTCATTTTTCCCCCATGGAAGAGAGTTCTTCTAAATTTGAAGATAGCTCTAAGGACAACCTCATTTCCTACAACTGTTTCTTAAGACATGATTCTCTAGAGAACCAACCACCCTCACCATCCTAACAATGACATCTGTTAGTATTCCTATTAGTCCTGGCTGGTGTGGCTCAGTGGATTGAGTGTCAGCCTGTGAACCAAAGGATCACTGGTTCGATTCCCAGTCAGAGCAAATGCCTGGGTTGCAGGTCAGGGCCCCCAGTAGGGGGCTCATGAGAGGCAACCACACATTGATATTTCTCTCCCTCTGTTTCTCCCTCTCTTCCCCTCTCTAAAAATAAATAAAATCTTTAAAAAAAGTGTTCCTATTAAAGTTTGCACACAGAACTGGCTCAGGATCTTGGTTTCTCTTGAATAGCAAAGATGAAATGAGTTACTACCTCCCTTGGTCTGTGTGCCACACGTCTATCAATTCAGCTCTGATCTGTATTAGTATTTTCTGAAATTCATATTGCACCACTGGCTCATATGTCTGTGGTTAATTATAAAACTTACGCCTTTATTCACATAAAATTTATTGACATCTATTCTGCTTAAGGCACTGGTAGTTATTACATGAAATATGATTAAGACAGATCAAATACATATATATCCCTTATTTGCTATCCATCTATCTGTTTCTTTTAATTGTCCTTAGGATTATGGTCTTGAACTTTTAACCAACTAGATGTCTCCACCCCTCTTGCCAGTATCTGGAACTTCCTTCTTAATAATATTAATTAATCCCTTCTTGCTTGATGAAATTTCTCATTGATAGATAAAAATATTTAAACTGAATAGTTCTTTTCTATCAACATTACATGATTTTCATTTGCATTGCTCCTATTCTTTAATTTCTTTTTAAGTACATTTTATTGATTATGCTATTACAATTTTCCCATTTTTTTCTTCCCTTTATCCCCCCACACCTGGTACCCCATTCCCTCTAGCATTCTCCCCCTCAGTAGTTCATGTCCTTGGGTCATACTATAAGTTCTTTGGCTTCTCCATTTCCTATACTATTCTTAACCTACCCCTGTCTATTTTGTAACTACCATTTATGCTTCTTATTTCCTGTACTTTTTCTCCCATTTCTTCCCTCCCCCCACCACTGATAACCCTCCATGTGATCTCCATTTCTGTGATTCTGTTCCTGTTCCAGTTGTTTGCTTAGTTTGTTTTTCTTTTTTTTTTTTTAGGTTCGGTTGTTGATAATTGTGACTTTATTGTCATATTACTGTTCATAGTTTTGATATTTTTCTTTTTCTTAGATAAATCCCTTTAACATTTCATATAGTAAGGGCTTAGTGATAATGAACTCCTTTATCTTGACCTTATCTGGGAAGCATTTTATCTACTCTTCCATTCTAAATGGTAGCTTTGCTGGATAGAAAAATCTTGGATATAGGTCTTTGCCTTTTGTGTCTTTGAATACTTCATTCCAGTCCTTTCTTGCCTGCAAGGTTTCTTTTGAGAAATCAGCTGATAGTCTTATGGGAATTCTTTTGTATGTAACTCTCTACTTTCCTCTTGCTGCTTTTGAGATTCTCTCCTTGTATTTAATCTTGGCTAATGTAATTATGTTGTGCCTTGGTGTGTTCCTCCTTAGGTCCAACTTCTTTGGGACTCTCTGAGCTTTCTGGACTTGCATGCCTATTTTCTTTGGCAAATTGGGGAAGTTCTCCTTCATTATGTTTTCAAATAAGTTTTCCATTTTTTGCTCTTCCTCTTGTCCTTCTGGCACCCCTGTGATTTGGATGTTGGAATGTCTAAAGTTGTCCCAGAGGTTCCTAAGTCTCTCCTCATTTTTTTGAACTCTTGTTTTTTTTATTCTGATCTGGTTGAATGTTTATATTTTCCTTCTGCTCCAAGCCAGTGACTTGAGTCCCAGTTCCCTTACATTTTGGTTCCATGTACATTTTCCCTTCTTTGACTTTGCATGGCCTTAACTTCTTCCTCTACTTTGCGACCATATTCAACCATGTCGGTGAACATCCTGATAACCAGTGTTTTTAATTCTGTATCTGATAGGTTGACTATTTCCTCATCACTTAGTTCTTTTTCTGGAGCTTTGATCTGTTCTTTCATTTGGGCTATTTTTTTGTTTGTTTGTTTCAGCACACCCATTATGTAGTAAGGGGCAAAGCCTTAGGTATTCACCAGGGCAGGGAAAGCCACTTCACTGCATTGTGGCACTGTATGTGGGGAAGGGGTGAGAGAGGGAACAATGCTGCTTACTTGGCCCTTGCTCAGCTTTCAAGAGACTAGCAGTTTTTCCTGTTGCCACAACCCCCATGTGTTTACAGGCAGAGGTTCTGAGGCTTTATTTTCCCTGGGCTGGAACCCTAGGTTGTGTGGTCTGTCTTTCTCCCTGGTTGTTCCTCTGGTTTATCCGAATGCAAAGGTGGGATGGCCTGGTCAATCAGCCACAGCCTAGTCTGCCAGCCACTGCCTTGTTGCCTGTCCTCTCTGCCCTGGCTGCCCATCTCCATCCCTCCTACCAGTCTGGATGAATGTTTCTTCTTTAACTCCTTGGTTGTTAAACTTCCATACAGTTCGATTTTCTGGTAGTTCCGGTTTTTTGTTTTTAACTTGGTTGTTTCCTTCTTTTGGTTGTGTGAGGAAGCAAAGAGTATCTACCTATACCTCCCTCTTGGCTAGATCTCCTATTCTTTAATTTCTTTTCTGGCTTCAAACATATACAAGCACATACACATACATATTCTTATAGGTTTTATTAATACTGTTTTTATTGGTATATGGATATATACCCCTCTTTTCTGTAGAGGGATATCTGATCTCCCAGGAGTTCTTCCTGAGGTCTCATTATTTTCTTTAGATGATTATAATAACTAATATTAATGCAGATCTTACTAAACACTGAGCACTTATAAAGTATGAATACAGTGATTACCATTATAATAACCAGTTTACAGATTAACAAACAGGAAGGTTGAGTAATGTCTTCTCATTGTGACTATATTACTTAGACAAAGTTAAAATTTGAGGTTTTTAATCAAGGATAATTTATATCTTCCCTTAATTACTTGAAACTGCCTTTCCTATATTTTCTATTTGAATATGTATGGCAGTCTCTTTCTTATATATTATGAAAACCCAAGTGGCATGGTCATCTTTCTTGACTATTCCCATTAACTTGATATAATTATCTTATTTTCTCCATTGCTTTCTCTACTACTGAGAAATTTTTAAAACAGTATTTGTACAAACTTTTAACACTTCCTATTTTATCCCTATATTTTTTCACTTATCTGTCTCTGACCACCTGACTGTGAACTGCTCAAAAAACTTACCATAGTATTTATCTTATTGTCTCCAACACATAGCCCATTGTCTAGAGACAGAAGATCCTAAATAAATAATGTTGATTGGAGGGAAATAATGGAGGAATGAGGACAGGAAAAGAGAGTGAGCATGGGAGCACAAGTGAGTGAGCAAAAAGAAAGGATCAGTAAAATTCTGTCATAAATTCTTTTCTTTTTTTAATCCTCATCCAAGGATATGCTCATTGGCTTTACAGGGAGAGAGAGAAACATTGATGTGAGAAAGAAACATCAATTGGTTGCCTCTTGTAGATGTCCTAGCCATGGATCGAACCCACAATCCAGGTATGTGCCCTGACTGGGAATCAAAACTGCAAACTTTTGGCTTCCGGGATGACATTTCAACCAGCTAAGCCACCCAGATGGGACTATTAGAAGTTCTTGAGGCTGAACTCCCCCATCCCATCATTACTGTATCTTGCCTTTGTGGCAGTTTTGCATTCTGTGGTAGAAAATCATCCTCTATTGCCTCCATAATATAGTTTTCCTTCCTTCCCTTCTGAGGATTACTGGGTGTTACTTTTACTCTGTTTTTGTGATGACACACCTCCACCTGTTCAACATCTGTATAGATTGATCTTAAAATTTTTTTCTTCCATTGCTGGGACTGCCATGTCCAAAGGAATATAATAATACCAACTTTCTTTAGCAGGTTTTATTTTCACACATACCATTTCATACTAATTGTAGAGCAACTTAAAATAAGAGCGGGACATCCTTGTCAATGAATAGAAATGAAAAAATGAAGTACAAAGTGTTAAATGACTAACGTAAGTTCACTTCACTGTATGCGGCAAACTAGTACAGGGCTGAGGAGCCTCTAACTTCTGACATTATAGTCTGCCTGCTAGAGCCTTTCCAAACTTGGTTGCACATTGTAATCACCTGAGGATCTTTTAAAGCTACTGCTGCCTAGCCCTGATCCCAGAGATCTTCATGTAATTGGTCTGGGGGTGTGCCCTTTAAGTGGGAATTTTTACAAGCTCCTCTGGTGGTTCTAATGAGCAGTCAAGACTTAGAACCATGCATGGAAATTAGATGACACTGCC